GATTTGGGCTCATTGGGAAGCTCATTCAGTGACTCAAAAGTTTAGTCAAGTGGTGGCACCACCAAACTGGCGATGGAACTGCCTATGAGCTGGAAAAGTTAAAAGCCCAATCTCCGAGAAAGTCAAGCAGTAGTACCCCAGATTAAGCGATGGTATCGCCTAGTGTCAATGTGTCAAGTGGTGGTACCGCCAGACTGGGCAGTGGTACCGCCCAGTGTCAGATTGGCAGGGTCTATAAATACCTTACTTTTTCCTACTTAGAGGCAACAAGAAATAGAGTAAAAAAGGGAGAAAATATACTTGAGAAAAAAAAGTATAAACTCTCTTGAAGTATGGAGTCTCTTCCTCTTAAGTTTAGAAAGTCTTATAAATAGAGGAGTGAGGTCTAGTGTAAAAAAGAGTTGTAAAGGTTCTCTCCTAAGCCTGTTAAAAGGAAAAAGAGTTGTAAAAGGGTAGTTGATCTTCGCCCATTGAAAGAAGATTAGTAGTGAATGTCGGTGGCCTTGACAGAAGAGGAATCGGGAGTGGACGTAGGTCGTAACGACCGAACCACTATAAACTAGATTTGCATTTACTTTCTGCTTTTCACTTATATTGCAAACCGATTTACTTGCTCACTACTTTTACGAACATTTCAAGTTAAACTCATATTTCTAATACGGGCTTTATCGAATAAGATTTTTGAATCGATATAATTTTACGAAAGCACTGATCCCTCACCCAAGTGCTGAAATGGTCCTAGCATATATAAATATCTCAAGTTTGGTTTCCTACTATTTTATAACTCAAAGAAAGTTAATGAAATTTACTTACTTGAAATCCTATTTAAGATATACATAATAATCCCTAGAGTTTCTCCTCACATTGATTAAAGTATAGAAAATAACTCGTTATGCTCGTAATTATATCTACAAGAGAGTATGATTTTATCTTTTAGTAACCTTATTCTACTTTAGCACATCTAATAAGACATATTAAGCACAAATAACCCACTTTTTTAAGAATATAAGAAAGAGTCAAAATTATGATCTGACTCATCATAACTACTATAAAATTTATAATCCTTGTCAAATCTGATAATTTTAATTTTTTATCTAATTATATTTTGACTTTATGTACACCTAAATATGTCAATGGCTTGAGATCTTAAATAATCATATCTCAATAAATAATCTATAAAAGTGATAACATATCTCTCTCTACTAAAATAAAAAAAATGGAGTAACTCATATATGCAAGCATATATAATCTCAAAGAGTTCATAAAACTATATTTCATTCTAATATTTGATTATAGAATTATTATAAACTAAATATTCATATTAATTCTATACAAATCATCATATAAAATTTAAAAGACTATTGAATCATGATAAGTTTACCATCACCAAAAGAGAAATAAAATCTTGATAATTCTAGATAAAGAGTCTAAATTTCTAGAATTGTAAGAACATAACATATATCCTCAAAATTCATATAATGAATCATCTCTAAGCATAGGCAATAAGTACCCACTATTACCATTTTCACTTTAAGATGATTCCATATAATGATAAATATTTTATACTATTTTATTTTTTTTTATTTAAAATAAATTTTTATTATTGGTAACATAAGTTGAAGTGTTAGAATCAATCCACCAACTATTAGAAAATGACTTTTGCAATGTTTGATTTGAAATATATAAAGGTTAAACTTATTCCTCTCCTTTTCGAACCAATCTTATAGTCCTTCACGAAACTTTTCACTTTACTATAAAGTATTTTTATAAGTTTATAAATTATTTATAAACTCAAGTGATTTGTGATTCAACTTTCTTTTATTATTATCCACTCCTTGAGTAATATCTAAAATATTTTGAGTCTTTTTTATTTTAATATTAATTCTTAATAAATACATATACTAGTCAACTCATTTAAATTTTACTTATCCTTTTGTATTGTAACAAATTTTAAATGCATCAAACTAAGAATAAATTATACGAGAAATAACTTAATTACATTCATGCCTAATGTTCTTGAACTTATAGCTTTGCCAGCTATATTGAGTGTATATAATCTTGAATTCCTCAAATACCATCATACAAAATTTTATTTCGATCTTTTATAAATATGTTAGTCAATGATTTATCAATAAATTAAAATTAAAAATTTAAATATTCAAGTATGCTAGTTGTAGATTGTAATGAATCTAAATATTATTAATAATTATCATAAAATTGAATCTTTTATACATTTCTTGATCATTTATGTCAATTATTTACTCTACAAAACTTTCAGTAGTTATGTTTAATATCCTTTCAACTAATATGATCAAGGTCTAACACATCCAATATAAAATATATATGCTTAAGTTATTTATAATAATTTAATCTAAAAAATAGAGAGACATTAATAAGAATGAAATGAAAGTAGTATCATTATAATAAAATAAAATCATATTAATATTTTAAGCTTTTCAATAAATATTGAACTATTGATATAATTCTTATAGAATAGTATTACTATCTTTGGGTATACAGTCCTAAACTATAAGGATATATAAAATAGTATCATCTTACCCATCGTATTAGGATTATCTAGATCTTCTAATTATGTGTCATTATAAATATTAAATTTTAATATCATTTAAAACTAAGTCTTTAATGTAATTTTAGAAGTTATTAGTCTTAACTATTTTGACAACTACAAAGCTAATATAATAATATAATATAATTTAAAATATCTTATAAATGATAAGATATTTATCACAATTCATATCCCATAAGTTTATCATCTAAAATCACCTTGGCAACTACTAGTCAAATAAAGCTTAGGGATGTAAGTTACAAAAAATATTCATCAAATATTTTTAATCTAATTTATACCAAATATTTTAATAATAATAAAATACTAATCATAATAATTATTAAATATCAATCAGTAAAAAGAAAAAATCATATGATAACTATAATCAGGATGAACATAAATCATGCTTTTATATGAAAAATAAATATATTTTATAATTTTAAACATATATATATATATATGAATAATAAAATAAATATCCAAGAATAATAATTATTTTTTTATTATCACATATAAAATTTTATCAATATATCATATGAGAAAACTATAAAAGAAAATCATAATTTATTTATTTATTTCCATATAAAATCCTAAATTAGATTAATCAACCATATTTAATTAGACAAGTCCAGGACTAAATATCAGCCCAATTAAGTTAGTCAAAAATTAAAATTGATCATTGATCAAAAATTGACTTTCCCTAAATTTAATTAAAACTTGATTAAGTCAAGCAATCAAAATACATTCATGATCAAGATTAAAATAAATCAAATTAGATAATTTTATAATTAAGGATATAAGTCAAAAAAATTTTAATTTTTGAGGGATAAAACTATAATTTTTCTTATGATATATAATGAAACTAGAGTTTCTAAATGGCAAAACTCTCAAAAGGATATAAATTGAAATTAAGAGATTTATAAGAGCAAAACTATAATTTCAATAAATAAAACCTTTTTTTTTCTTTAGCAATGTGGCACTCACAGTGTGCGATCGCCACTCTAGCAGCGGCTATTCTCACCAGTTATCATGTCATATTATGTCGCCATGCTCACATGCAATTGTTCTCACCATGTGCGAGTTCCTCATGAGGCATTGTCGACTAAGTGCCACCCATGATTATCCCATCATAAAGTTATGCATATGCACCAACCAATGACCCCCACGATTATGGTGACATGTGGTTGTGTCCATGCATCCACCCAGTCGTAACTATTTTTCTATGTTACGTAGCTATTGGAAATTGTAGCTTTTGGCATCCAGTTGACACCAATCATGGCACACAAGTAGTTATACATGCGGTCGCCATCGGTTGTCATACCCCATGATGCTTTTGCTGCATATAACAGCACTTGTACACAACTACTGCTTGTGACTAAGCTAGCGATTATCAAAGACCATCGCCCTCAACAACATTAGCGTCGATAATAAACTATCTATGGTGGCCTATTGATCAAGAGGAACCTCGGATCACTCAAAGCAAGCATAAGAAGGACTAGATGTCAACATAAACAAATCATTTATGTATTGTAAATCAAAAACGAATAACACATTTTCTCAAATGAATGATGCTAATAAACAAATCTAAGGTATTTAATTTCAAAACATGACTTTGATACTAATTGTAAACATAAAAATCATGATTTTGTTACTGTTATATAAAAAACTTTAATGTCATAAATTGAAATCAAATAACATTAGATCAAGTCATTTAAAAAGTCTTTCTGATTTGCACGGATTTGAAAGATATGACGATATCAATCTATAAGGAAAATTAAACTTGTCTTCTTTTCTTTTCCTATCTTTTACAAGATCACTAGTGATGAATGAATTAGAAACTAAGAAAGATCGAGAATAAATCTGTAATCTTAATAACTAATATTTCATCCCTATAAGAGCCTAGGACAATTATTAGAAATCTCCCATCAAATCAACTTTTAAGAAATCTTAGACTTTTTATATTGATCAATAATTATAATCAAAATCTAATAATATCTATAGTATATATTATCTAATTAGATAGGACCACTATTATAATTATATATATATATATATATATATATATCCAATATTATGATGATATTGGATGTATAGGGACAAAATGTCATGTCACGTGACTAACGATGCCTGTGTAATTCCATTAAATGTACGAATAATGCATGCTGGTAAATTCTTAATAATCAAATTCTATACACCGTTGGAGGTTGGAGAAAACCCAAGTCATCTACTATTAGCAAAGGGATGAACAAATCCAATGCTGAAAAGAAACCTGAATCCAACCATCCAAAACATTGGCCGAAATTAAAAGCCCTGGAGAACAGAAAAGGAATCTAAAAAGGTGGTTTACCTGTTTGGTACCCCACTTCATAGTTTGATTTGTGTAAGAACAGAATATTAGAAATCAGCACAACGCATGGAAACTATGCAGATATTGAAGTTTAACATCATACTTCAAGACCTTATTAACTAATACAGAAGCTTCATTAGTTTTATATTAAGCTCATACTCAACTGGTGTAAGCAATAGTTAGAAATGTAGCAATGGCGATGGCATTACATCCTAGATATCTGAAGGGGAACCATGGCTTCACTGAGTTCCTCCCTCATTACAAGCTGGAAAAGATCTGATATGCCATGCTGTACTGAGAGGTGCCTTTGGCATACTTCAGCAGCCATCACACCTGAGGTGTAAGCTCCATGAACAGAACCAGAATGGTCGGCGCTTGCTGCTTCACCAGCAAAATACAAATTGTCGACAGGAGCACAAAACCTCTCATATATGTCAGCTGGCTTCCCAACTAGATCACAAGAATAGGAACCAAGGGAATCTCCATCTGTTCCCCAGTGCGAAACCAGATGTTGTATCTGCCAAAATATCATAGTTTGGTTTATTTGAACTCTTCAAGGAATTAAAGCATCATATGATCAATATATAGAAACTAACCGGATCTGTTGCATCTGGTATCATTTTCTTCAGCTGTAACATCACAAAGTTGACAGCTTCTTCATCAGAAAGTTTCTCCATGTCATAAGCAAATCTTCCAGCAGCCATGTACACAAGAATAGGATGTCCTGTAGCCTTGTGGAGATTGAGAAAATAGCCACAAGCATAAGATTTCTGAGCTACTAAACCCAAAAATTCTACATTAGGCCAAAAAACATTGCTAAAGCGAAGAGCAATCTTATTCTCGATGCCAACGCCAATATCAGAGATCGCAGAGAGTTTCCATTCCGGAAGCTTAGGCTCAAACTCTATAAGATTAGCTTTGAGAACCCCAAGAGGAACAGTAATAATAGCGGCATCAGCTACAAATGTATTTCCATCTTCGACTGTAACTATTACTCTATTGTTGCACTGTGCAATTTTTTTCACCCTGATCACATGAATAGATACGAAAAAAAGTAGTAAATAAGCAGAAAAAAAAGCTTAAGTACAAATTGCTAACTTAATCAGGTTTGTCATTCTCATTGTCTCGGTAACATAAGATGTAATAACTGGGGCATTCCTAGATCCTTTCCATTGAAAAGAAGTTATGGATAAAGCAACCTTCAAGGACCTTAATCGGTAAAATAAGAATAATATGAAGAAAAACTCTCTGCAATCAGAATATTCTATAATTAGCTTCCAAACAATTGATAACTCAAATCATACAGCAGCCTGAGAATGTCAAATTTGTTTGTTTCTTTCAGGCACACATTCTTTGCAAATACAATTGCTCTTTGACAAAATGTAGACAAAACGAAAAGAATTCATATCGTCTATAGTACCTTAAAATTGGTTTTTGACTTGTAAGTGTTTTTCTAAAGAGATTATGAAGAGATATCCAAGATACCACTATATATCTAAAGAAAATTACACCCTTCCAGTTATTAAACTCATAATTTATTTGGGTTCTGGATGATGTGATGGTGATCCAAAAGATTAGGCCTTACCAGTTACTCTTAAGGTTCCATGTTTTGGTTTGCACTGTGTTAGTTAAAATAATGGAAAACATTTTATTTGATGAAGATCATGGTAAGGATATAATTTCTAAGAAACCACCAATAAGTAGTGCACAGTTAAAGATTCTGAAGTTTAGCCTAGACATACTTTTAGCTAGTAATCAGCCATCTATAGATGTTAAAAGAATCAGTAACAAGAAATTTATAACACTTGCTCACAAATTTTCATAAGAAGATCACCATCTAAATACATGGTTTAAATCTAAAACCCCATTTCTTAAAGCCCCAGCTAGGATAACAAGGTGTTATCACAATCATGTGACCCAGGGCATGGGGAACTGACAAAGGTTTATTCAAGTAGCTAACTGATGTCAGTTATAAACAGCTCCACGTAAAAAATCACATATGACAAGTAGAGATACTACAGATTATTTTCAATAGAGAATAAACACAGTATGTTGAGCTGAGAAAACACAATATGCATATGTGGCATATGAAGTTTATATGAAATACTCTGCTATTTAGAAAAAGAATCATGGTTAAGAAATAAGTTACAACAGAAAGAGCACACAAAACACGTGACTAGCATACAGTAGAAAACAATTAAAAAGATGACTGAGTTCAGGATTATCTCAAGGAGGAATTATCTTTATACTCATCTAAGAACCTACTCAAGTGATGAGTATGGGCAAGTGTCTGAGACATGTGTAGTGACCCATATACTGTGACACTGCACCAAAATTAATGACAAGGTTTTTCTTTTCTGTATAGTTCAGCATATGACTGCCTTCCATATGCAGCAGCTTATTGGCCACAAGAACTTTCAGAATACTGTTGATTTCTACCTAGAAGGAGATTAATAGAACATTTTATTAAAGTATACCTATGATTCAGACGAATATCAAGATCCTCTGAAAGGGCTTGTATAACAGGATAGTAACCTTGCAACATAAGTCCATGACCACCAGAGAGAACATGTTCCTGCTTTCAAAAGAAGATGAGTAACCAGTCATGTCATTTTTACTCATTTGACTTGTCACTGTCAATTTCTCTGAACATAAATTTACAATTAGTGCATGCCAAAAAATGTTATAGAAACTCAACAAACATGCAACAGAATTTTAAGGGAACAATAATTGTAGCTCTGAACCAGGAAAATTAAATTAAACATGTCAAAAGTTATACTCGTGGGTTAAATTCTTGTCAATAATGAACCATGAGCCAGAGTATAACCTAATAACATCAGGAGAAAGGCCGTGCTGGACCAAATAAACAGTAGAAAATCCCCTCCTGTAAACAAAATTAATTGTGGCCTGTGCTCTATGATCATGGTGACAGTTTTTATCTGAGAACCATTATTATCAAAACTAACTGCCACCTGCCAGGCCACCTACCAATCTTGCCTCAAATTCCCTATTGAAGTGCACAAATTCTGACTATCGATACACTATTAACCAGCTTTCAGCTGCTATAAAGCTGTCATGCAGACCATGACTTGGTACATTGTACCTTTTCCCATTAAACTCACCTTTAACTATTCATATAACTGAGGTGTGGTTTAAATGAATCCAGACCCATTTAATGGGTTGTTTGTAGTTAAACTCTTAAATGCAACTACTAGTCAAAATCCAAAATGTTCAACTTGTATGAAACCTGGCTAGGTCTGGTTCAACTCACATAGTCAAATAATCGTTGTTTATTGTATCTATCCAGGCTTTAACTATCATCAATTTTAAATTTTGGCTGGGTTTTGCTGTAGACTGTTACCGTTGACATATTAATCATGAAAAAAGCATGACAATATACTGTGAGTAGTGCATGATATAGTGATTTTTGGTTTAGTGAATCAGTTTTAGAGCGCATATGGATGCTTTATATAGAAAGCATAGAAGACTATTATTTTCTGATCATAGAGGCCTAGTTACATAAATGTTTTGAAAAGGCGCCCAGGCGCTCGGAAGAGGCGTGGCATGGCCCAAGCGCCTCGCACAGTGGTAGGGTGACGCGCTTTAGTGAAGCACCGCCTGCGTGCTTGCCTGAGCCCAGAAGTTAGGCACCTCGAGCAAGCGCTCTATTGAAAGTGAGAAATCGAACCAGACTGTCAACTCTAGTTCGATTGAACAGTAACTTTCATTGGTTCAATCGAACCAATAAAGCATAGCAAACACTAACAGAATCCCCACATCCCCCACTACATGTGACCCCTGACCTACTAATAGTAAATATTGATTACTCTCGCCGCCCCAACCCACCTCTAGTCCACTATCACTGCCTCCAAATGCAGCTCCCTCCACTGCCGATGAACAAGTCCGATGTTTCCTCTATCACCGACGGATAGGTTCGACGCTTCCTCTACCACCGACGGATAGGTCTGAAGCTCCTACTACTATAGCTTTTGTGTGCAGTTCCCTCCATTGTTACTGCTTTAGTGTGTAGCTCTTTCCATCGCCGAGAGATAGGACCGCAACTTTCTCCACCACTACTGCCATCGTCTGCAGCTTCCTTTGCCATCGCTGCCACCACCTGAAGGTTTCTCCATCACCACCGCCCTCTCCTTCCCCACTTTCCACCGTTGGTGACTCCTCTTGTCCCCCATACTGTGCACTATTATAACTACTATTAACAGTGGCTTAATTATTATTGAATGGATTGTTAATCCTTAGAACTAATATTAAAACTACTGTTAACTACTATTACCATATCTTCCAATAAATTAAAACTAATATTAATCCTTAGAACTCTTGAGCCTGTTTAGAACTAATTTTTATTTAGAATTATTAATCCTTATTTAGCATTATTAATCATATTTATTAAGTATATTATATATTTTTTATATTTTAATGTTCTAGAGCATCTCACTTCGGTCGAGAAAACGCCTAAGCAAGAGCCTAACACCTCAAACGTTTTGGGACCTTGACGCCTTTTAGCACCTAGTGCCTTTAAAAACACTGAGTTACATCACAATTCCTTTTTTATAATACTTAATCAGTTGAGATTGCATAAATGATAGGAAATTATTCTGTTTTGGGGATTGATGTGAGTTCAAAGAAAAAATATCTCGTATGCCATCAGCTCCATGATCTCATCTTTCTTCTTAACCTACTAATCAATAATTACCCTTCCCTCCTCTTCCCTTATAGTAACAGCATATTATTGACAGATTATTTTAGGCTAAGGCCAGAAACTTCTTCCCTTTCTTTCTTTGTTACTTTTCCTTAAAGCAGCATATATCACACACATTTTTCTCTCACAATTTTAGCCTAAAACTGCAGAAAAATCATCCAGAAGGCTTCTGTGTCTGCACCCAGTTTGAAGCTAAATTAACTAATCAACTAAATAATTTTAACCTTCCTTTTTTCTAGGACTTTCTGGCATAGCTACAAACTGGGTTAAGAAAGGAGATGAGAGAGACTTACTTTAACCTGTACCTTTAGGCAGTTTATTTCCACTGAGTTGTGAGAATAGGATGCCAGACTATGATCATAAAAGAGATAAATTCTGTAACAGCTATCTTCATCATCTCCTTTGCGAGGAGCAAATTTGTGACAATGATAACATGGCAAAGTCGTTACCTGATCCCAATTTTTCAGTGATATAGTGTCCGCATCTGCAGCAAACCATGCCTCCAGTCTACATATAAACCATTGCAGCACTTCATGTGCCATCCCTTCTTGCCTGTAAATTGAGGAAACACATTAGTTGACCGCTCGGCCAAATACAGTACAGTACTGTGAGGTCCTATTCAGCTAGATGCAGTGACATACCTTAGTTGTGGATATCTCTCTAGAACAAAGGAAATAGCTTGGGAAAGAGACATGTCGACGACATGTTCATTTCTTACTTTCTCAGTCTGTGAGATGAAAAATAATAATCTTTATGATCACATATCACATCATATTGAAGCCAATATATGTACGAGGGAAGCAAGAAAAATATCCAGAGAACACTAAAGAATACCTCCTTGAGAATCCTCTCAAATGCTTCTCCTACTTTTGTGACTACTTGCTGAGGGACTTGGTTCCCATCCTTGTCAAAAAGAGCATAACTACACATACCAACCAAATCTCTTATTAATTTATAAAAACGATTAATTTCATCCATACAGATTATTTATTTATTTATTTATTTATTATTATTATTATTATTATTATTATTATTATATATGTATGTATGTATGTGTATGTATATAACCAGTTTATTTATACAGGTGGAGGCAAATCTATCATGCCATCTTGATTACAAAAGGAACTGGCTTCACAAAACCCTACACAACAAGCATGAGTATATAAAAAAACACATGAAAATTTTTTGTCCTGACCTATAAATAAAAGTCCAGTCATGGTCCTTCAGAATACAATTAAAAGAAATTCAAACCTAACCCTTGAGAACTATACAATTAAAACAAATAATCAATCAAGCTCAGATATACATTATCATTTACCAACCTAGTATAGTACATAAATTATTTTGCAGTTCTTTGAACTAAAATATAAATCATAATCCATCTATGGAATCCCAAAGCATCAAGAATAATTAGAAGATATATAGAAAAATGAGTACCTCTCTAGGTCATGATCATACAATACAGAGTTGTCACCACTAGTGCGGTATAACCTTAGGCCTAGGCCACGAATTAATGGAGCTAGAGAATTTTCATTGCAAACACCATGTAACCTGAACACCAAAAAGCATGGAGAAGAGATCAATGAGCCCAACTGCAACGAATCATTATCGAGAAAGATTGACTTTAAAATAGAACTTCACCATGATGCTCCCATGTCAACAGGACAACCAAAAGAATGGTCAGTATGCACCCGCCCACCAAGGCGGTTACGTGATTCCAACAGAATGACCTGAAGAAGATAGCATATGAAAATTAAGTTCTAATATTCTGAGCACTATGGAATTGGCTTACTTAATGTAAAGTAACTTTAAGAAAGCTTCTAATTTTCAAATATGTTATAAAGTGTCAGTGACAAAGAGCAAGAGAAAGCATTACATTAAAAGAAGCATTAGACAATGCACGGGCAGCTGCAATCCCTGAAATTCCTCCACCAATCACAATAACTGATGGTTGTGGTCTCTCGACGTGAGAGACTAGAAGACCTAAGACAATAAATATAGTTATTTATAAAAGAAACATAGAAGTTATCTAAAAAAGAGAGAGGTGTAGAGACCTAACAAGAAAGAAATTTACAGTTGTTAATTAGATGATACAAAAATTAGTAAGCATAGTTACATCACTCTAAGCAAACATCAAAGAGTCATAGGAAAGCTTTGTACATGGGTATGTTGTTATACTCGAGAATTCATGAAAAAAATTCGCATACTGTATGCTGTCACTTGAATAAGCAACAAGATTTCACACAAGAATGCCATCATCTCATTGAAATCCTTAAACCTTACTTGCAAGGTCCCATTCGTTTTCCGCACTTCATATACCAAGTGATAAAATTTGTCATACCTCCAACAGATCTTACTTTGGATTTAATTGGTTTTTGATGTTTTCTCCAATTACTTAGGTAATTAACAAATCAACACTGGAAATTCGTATCCTTTAGACTCCAAACACCAAGAAAACAGAGTGATTGGAGTGCCCATTAATGCTATGTTAGCAACATTCTGTTAGCCACACATCTTCTCTACAGATTGAGTTGGGCGCTTAAGCAGGATCGTGCAACTCAAAGCCTTTTGAGTGGATTTTCTACAATGCTTCTATGTGGCTCACTGTTTTACTTGTTCATTTCAAACTCAATGTAAACAATCTTCAATTAAACTTTCTTTTGAAAATGTGAATAAGGCATTTTTAAGACCAAGTTGTAGTTTGAATCTCCATCCTAAAGCATGTGAAATGAACCTTCAATATTATAATATAAGATACAATTATGTTTGCCTCCAAGATGAGGAATTTGCATATCTGAGTGCAGAAGGCTTGTTTCTCATTGCACTTGTTATTTAGGCTTCTATGTAAAAGAAGAATCTTTTTCCACATCCCACCACCTTTCTTCTTTTTTTTTTTCCTTACATATTATTACTAAGCTTAACCTTATGAATCTGTATAGTCATCGAACAGGTAACAATACAGAAACTATAAAGCATTAACAATTTGGAATCTTTTTGCTAGTTGACCTAGATGCTAAAATTTTCCATAAAATGGAAGAACATTGAGCAGACAGAATTGTGTTAAGGGACATTGATTAAAGATCAGGACATTAAATTCAGAAATTGATAGGATGAAATGAAAAGATGGAGAAGAAGATTTAGTCAGTTAATAAATGAAGATGAACAAGTAGAAAAAAGCTGGATACCCGCAGAGAATATATATAACATATTTATTGCATGATTCTAACTATCTGTTAATAACTTTCAAAAATTGATAGTTTAGAGTCATTTCTTTTCTCATTTTCCACTTTTATGTCAGTGATCCTCGTTATATTTCTAGAATCTCTAGCAAACATGCAAAACCATGAAGTTTAATATTCAAAGCCAAAATATAATCGAAGGTCGTGGATACAGGGAAAGCTACAAATATTTGAACTATGTACAAGTACATGCCGAGACAGTCCAATTGATAACAAAATCTCTACAATCAACAACAAAAATCCAGATTTGCATTGAATGCCATACATAAACCAAACCAAAGCCGATCAGAAGCCACAAATCCCATCACAAAAAAGATCAAGAGACAAATCAAAGAAGGTTGATACCGCCAATACCAAAATTTTTCCGGCTCGATGATCCTTTCGACGTCATTCCCCCCTCGGCACAAGAACCAATCGTAGGGCCTCTCCTCGCCGCTTAAGATTGTAGAGAATTCAAGGAAGGATTACTCGAACGTATAGGAATCGAGAGGTGGAGGACAAAGATCATGAGCCCGTCTTGGCTCGGATCGGAGAGGCCACAGAGATTCTCAAACCAGCTCATGCGTGAGGCCTGCGAGGGATCCCCAAACCGGCAAGAGATCGAGACCCAGGGAGGGGATCTAAACTACGACGGAGAATAAGGAAATGGGGGAGACGCGTCCGCCCTCGTCTTCTGCGATTGGGGTATTTCGATATTGAAGAAACCCCGCCCTATTTATAGCCGACGAGATGGGAGGACGAGGTCCTTCTTGTCCGCCCATATGCACTAATAGACCCTTCGTTCTACGACTATTTACCAGAATGACCGCCTAACTGGGAATCCTTTCAAGGGCGCTATAGTCATTTCAGTTATTAATAAAAGGGTACAAAACTCACGTGATGCAGTAGAAGAAACGGGGATTTTTTTAATGGACAAATTTTCGTAAAAAACTCATAATTTTTCAAATAGCACTTTTTTAGAATATTATTTTTAAAAATAATCATCTCTCGATTAGCTATCGCCCTTTGTCCAACGTATGATTATACCCCCTCCCCCTCCTGTCAATCGCCTCTCTATTAGATTCATACAATATTAAAGATATAACAATCGACTCACATGTGATGTGATGAAGATATAGTCTTTATCTCCTATAATCAATGAAAAAAAGATATAGTAAAAATTATGGCCAACGATGAGCCACCCCTCATTTCTCTCCTATAATCAATGAAAAAAAGATCGAGAGCTACAAAGGTTGCACCTTCATCGTTGAGCAAATCCAAACGTAAGAATCCACTCAAAAGTAGGGATTGTTGATGGGGGAAGATAATAAGAGGGGATAGTGGGTTAAAATAATCTTTTTATTCTATCAAGAATATTTTATGAGAATTTTTTAAGATTAAAGAATTCTGTTAAAAATTTTAGAAGTTCCAACTTTTTTTTAATGAGAATTCACCCTTTTTTATATAAAAAATATTTAACTAAATTGTGCATGCTCGATATACGGATAATATAATATTATTTAGACTGGAGATTATTTTAATATCTTTGGACTTGATTGTAAAAAGTGAGATGCCGGAGGAGTAAAATGGTCATTTCGAAGGGTTAGATGGGATAGAACGACTAAATCCGCGTGCAGCATTAAACCAAGTGCCTTTGCACGAATCTTAAAGTAGGGCATCCAACGATTCGAGGGAGCTCAAGGAGGCTCTTGACGCCTCTGCTTCATGATCCGCGTCAAATTTTGATGGGATTGCACCTTGTGGATCCGTCAAGCATAGAAAAAGTTTTGCTTTTTGTTTGATCAAGATAATACCTTGATCCACTAATTAGACTCGGGCAATCATTTAATTCATATCTTGCACGTTTTGCTTCATAAGTCCCACGATTCATCCACGAATTAGATTGGTTACCAAAGCTGGATCGGTAAATGTATATTGATTATAAACGATATAATAGATAATTAGCCGATACAAGTCTTTAGCGATATAATAGACCATTTATGTGTACCTTTAAATTTATTAATTTTTATATTTGCCTCTTTAAAGCTTTAAACAAAAATGACGGTATTGGAACTTTAAACAAGAGTATTTAAAAAAAAAAAAAGCATTATTTTATTATAAATTAGTAAATTTGTAATTTTTCATTTAAATTTATTTTTATGAAATAATTAAATGTTTTTATATTTCAAAATTTCTTAATTATAATGATTAATAATACAAAGTGTATTTGCAAGTATAAGTAGCATTTTGGACGGAGGGATACTCACTGGCGGAGGGCATTCAGAGAAATCATGTTGAAATTTATTGGTATGTCCCCTCATTTGTTAATTAAGAGAACTAATTACTTTGAACTATTTTTGTATGCGATTAACATTTTTTTATTTACTTAATTTTTTAGAATATAATAATTTTTATGTATTTAAAAAAGGAAATCGTATTGTTAACTAAACTTCATCAACACGTCAGAACACATAGATTCTTCAGCTAAAACTTAGGACTCGAGCCTTTGTGTCTTAGGCTTTCTCGAGCTTAGTTTATTTACCTAATCAAAGTTTTTAACTAATATGATTAATATTATATTTTTTTAGGTCAATCGAAACTCCACATCCAGAAGAATCCGATCCCGATCGGTCAGATCTGCCACACCAATAATAAGTACGATAGAAAAAGTATATATATTTTTTATTCTTAAAATATTTTCGGCAGGGTTATGCTATTTGAACCCACGTATATGGGTTTGAGCATCAGAATGATCGCACCAAAGAAGCCGTCGACGTTAATTTTGTATATGATGTTTACGACGTATATTAATTGCGTCCTGAATGTGCATCCACTCCTCAAAAATAGATCAGATTAGATGCGCCATCTATCAGTTTTAGCACTCATCATCTACAGATCCTATTGGCCTTCTCTTCTGTGGAAGCCGGCTTGGGGTCTAATTCAGAAGCTCAAGACCACTTTGGGTCAGTTGTAAGAATCGAGCGAACAATCTCAGTCACTCTTCCCATCGATATCAGATGACAAAAGCTAACATCATCATCATGCATCTTCTGATGATAAGAATATTCGCAGGTTGGTGCCGAGGTGTCACGTGGAGATTGGATCTCGGCATATACTCTCTCCAAAACACATAGTAGAGCGGAGCATAAGAATATTTACATATCCCGATCAAAAGCCAAAAGAGAATGAAAACCCTCCACAAAATAACACGAGACTTGTGCAAATAGCAACCTTCTTTTGCCACCTTCTCTGCAAAGCAATTAACCTCCATGCTTTCTTGGCTCAAGTGATGCAGGGAGTGGGCAAGTAGAAGAAGCCCACAAGTTTGGGGTTGCGGAGATTCCCCACAACTTGGGGAGTCGTAAAGACTCAGCCTGTTGCGAGGTCATCTTTTTTGGCTCAGCAATCCTTCTTCGTTCCCTTAAGTGGTGGAATTCGAAGCTTATTTTCTGGCTACATTTGCTCTACTAAATGTTGTCTCGTTGCTGGGGAGAAGGAACTTTTCAGTTTGTCTTTTATTGATCACCTTTCTAAAATGAAGTCAGTATCATCCGACATTATTTGGTTGCCAAATGCTATAATTTTTCCTCTTCTCACAACCGACGAAGGTGGTGTGACATGTGAATCTTCAAGCGAGCCCTCCATTTTCTTCCACACACATGTTTGATGCTCCAGTTTCTGATGCCAATAATGTTGCACCAACATTCGTAGCAGTCGGAATAAGTTGAAATCTCTCGAGCATCTACTACTCGACGTTAGTGAATCAGCACATCACAATGCAACTTAAGTCTTCTCGGCATCATGGGACACTCTATTCATCCGCGTCTCTCTCGAATACTACTGACCTGAACTATACGTATGACTTAATCTTCATTCGATCAACCAGTCTGGGTTAGATAATTCCTTGGACAACTTACCTCTCTCAAAACCTTTTCGCACCATGGAATGGTTCCACTCGTCCATGTATATCTGAGAAATAACATGACTAAGAGGGACTCGTTCCTAATTCATTGAACCTAATCTCGCCTTCAAATTGGCTGCAGACTGGGAGAACAATCTCAAGTCTAAACCCATAGTTTTCTATAATTCCCTTTTTTTTTCTTTTAATGATAGGGAGGTTCAATCATAGCAGTGCATGTGGCTATTACTTCCTTTACCTCCTCGCCTCGGTGCCAAACAAATGCCAACCGTTGTCCGTGCTTCCTGTGGCAGCTGATGGTGATCAACAGTTGCTTGATCTATAAAAAATAAAAATAAAATAAACCATTTGCTTGGGATCTGCCAATGAGTGACACAGAGTAATCAGAATAGAGTGGAACCATCACCAATGCAATCAGAATATAAGTTATTACTTATTGAATGATATCGGACAAATGTATGTCCCTATACCAACTAATAAACTGGTAAAATTTTGATTTTATAGGTTACTGAAATTGATATCGAAAAAAGATACTGTTCAGTAGTTAATTTAGCAGTTTTACTATTAAAAAATAGATATTGAACTAGTATTTTATTTCTTCTCTGTAGATACATTATTTGTATCTGATATGATTTAGTTTACCATTACCATAAGGACATTAAAATATTAATTAAAATCAAGACCCCTCTGATTGAATGACTCCTCTTGTGATGCAATTATCGTCGAGTCTTTAAGTGTTTTTTGATTATTAATGTTATTCTTAAAATATTTAGTTCTCTTCCAAAATTAAAGTGAAGGGTGAAATAAAAAAAAGGAGTCTTGTGATAAGAAGGGATGAAAGAAATATAATAAAGCACACCTTGATCGATAAGAATAATAAAATCATTTTATGTATTTAATATTTTTTATTTTAAGCTCAAACAAGCTATCACGGTGAGCATTGACTAGCCATAGTTTATTTGTGATATATATATGTATATATGTATATGTATGTATGAATATATATATATATATATATATATATATATATATATATATGTATATATATATATATATATGCATATATATACATATATATA